ATGGCACAAATTATCAACATGTGCTACTACATGGGCTAGCTGACGTACTAATAAATCATTAAAAATATCTGTGAACTGATTTAGAAACTTAAAACTAAAAGTTAGAACACCATATGACGGAAAACTACTATTTAGAACGTGTATTTGTGGTTACATGATACTTGTATCCTTATATGTTGTGGACACAGTTTGTTGTGCCTGAGGCGCCCAGGGTTTGCAGTATGCAGTAAGTTTTCCATCGGCTGAGATCCAAGGTATCCATCCGTCTAGTCTTGGATATAAATTGCTTATGACCTTGCGACCATGGTGCCAATACTTCGATTATTATACGGAGCCTGATATGTACTACATGCACTATATATTTTCATTAGGTACATGAACACCATTTTTTTAGTATAGTCACCACTAGAATAGATGCATTTTTTCAGTATTGTTACTAATAGAAAGTATTTCACATATATAAGAGATGGACTGTTTTATATCACGCACAAACAACAAAAAGACTAGAGGAACTACATGACAAAAAAATAACAATTGAAAGAAGAAATTCTATGAAATTTTGTTCTATCAGGCATGCTTCAAAAGAGGCGTGACATGTCTTTTGGTTGCATATTCATGTGATGACAAGAGAATTAATTTAGTTGGGATGACACTTGCTCACTTTCTTTCACTAAATCTAGTGGGTGACCTCTTTGTGACGGCGGCGAATGTCATATTTGGAGATCGATCGAGGTATATGGCGTCACAAGGCCCAAAACCAAAAATGGTCGAATGACCCTCAAGTTAGAAACCAACCGACCCACAACCATTGAGTTGGGGCTGTTGGATTAATAAACCCTTCACCCATAAAACCCTTCCAGCTCCTTGCGGATGGATGGTGCTTGGACACATTTGAAAACCTATACTCTAGTAGTCTGATTACCACTATACTTACATCTGGGTGCCGCTTATTTGCGTAGGACATGTTTGACCAATGTTGTGACCACGCAAGGGATAACTGGTTCTTGTTGCGGGAGGACGCGAAGAAGATGTGGTTGATAGTGAGTGGGGAGTTCCACAGAGAAATGCGGGAGTTCCTCCGCAAGCAAAAATGATCCAAGGGAAGTGACCATCTGGAAAGAAGAGAAGGTGCTACTTGTCTGTACCACATGCTCCTTCATGTGAGGAAGGCCTGAATATACCTACCCAGCAGACAAGTCTTTAGAAGATCCAACTGCAGGAGGCAGAGTGGTAGTCTGGCAGATGTTGAAATCATTTGGACTCGACGGTTGTAAATCGAATGTAGTCCTTTGTTTGATAGGTTCAGTCTGCGCTTTGCGCCATGCTAAATGTAAGCCACAGAAGGTAGTGGATTATTCTGTTAGACAAATCAAAATCCGATGAACTGTACGTGATCCACTTCTCCAGTTCAGTTTTGCATGGAAGTTGCGTACAATTGTGGTTAATCTGTGTCAGTCAGTTTGGAACCAGACATGTTTGCAAAACCGCATCCAGACAGGATTGACAATTTTGATTTTCAGTAAATTTGTTTATTATCTTTTTAACAAAATATATCCACACTTTGGTGTGGAGAGTTAAAATACAATGAGCGTTCAATTATGTTCAGGCATAGGACAATATGAATATACCAAAGTTGAAATATGGCCTCACATTAAACGAGTGTTCAGTATAGAAACAAATTTATATTTAAAAAACTGGTTTCAAATATTTGAACTAAAGTTCCACTTTTTTTGTTCACAACATCGAACGGCTCGTTGTGTTGACACCAAAGGTATGGCAATGGTCGTCAACTCAACCGGAGGCAAAACCAAAACTGACTGTCTTACAACTGAACCGGAGGCAAAATTAGCCGACAAAACCGGTTAACATGGTTGGTAACAAATCCTTCTGAGATGATTGTTTCCTTTTGTCATCCACATTATATTAACTAGAGAAAATGAAATAGGACTTTGCCTATAAATATGTGTTTGGAAATCAGACTTATCCTTATCATATCCTATATCATATACAAAGAGGAAGAAACACTTGAATATTATTAGAGTAGTAATTGTCATTGGTGACGATGCGAAAGGAAACAAACATGAAAAATCTTTAATCTACACATAAAAAAGATGGTCGATAAGTTTCCAATACCAACAATCGATCAACGGTGTGTTTCCTACCTATTTTGTATCAGTACACGCTTTCACAACCAACAACGGCTCCATTTTTAGATGGAAATACTCCTACACACTAGGATTAGGCCTCAATAAATATTTACCTTTTTCATCCCTCAATCCATAAAACAGATTGGCCCATGAAGGATGCCAGTATATATATGCCCTAATACACGAGCATGTCCTCCAAAGTTCATCGAGCAAACACACAAACACTGGACTACCACCGAACTTATCCCACAACTTTGTCAAGTCTTCTCTTTGAAATGGAGGGTGTTACAGTGTTGATTGTTGGTGCTGGGCCAGCAGGCCTCGCAACGGCAGCATGCCTTAGCCAATTCTCAATTCCTTATGCCATCGTCGAGCGCGAGAGCTGTAGCGCGTCACTCTGGCGCAACCGCGCGTATGATCGTCTAAAGCTACATCTCGCAAAGGTGTTCTGTGAGTTTCCACACATGTCATACCCTGTAGATGCACCAACATACATACCAAAAACCTTGTTTGTGAAGTACTTGGATCACTATGTTGAGCGTTTCAACATTCAACCAAAGTATCTCACCAGCGTGGAGTCATCCACATATGACAATGATGAAAAATGTTGGTCCATTGTGGCAAAGGACATGTCAAAGTGCACGACAGTCAAGTTCATGGCGAAGTTTCTTGTTGTGGCAAGTGGTGAGAATAGTGCAGAGAATATTCCGATGTTCCCTGGACTGGAAAACTTTCCAGGTGATGTTATCCACTCCTCAAGCTACAAGTCAGGCAAGAGCTACTCTGCCAAGAATGTATTGGTCATTGGATCTGGCAACTCCGGGATGGAAATTGCTTATGACCTTGCGACCCATGGTGCCAACACATCGATTGTTATACGAAGCCCGGTACGTACGTGCACTATATATTTTCACTGGGTGCATGAACGCAAATTCTTAGTATAGTTATTAATAGAAGAGATGCAATTTTCAGTGTTTTACTAATAGGAAGTATTTCACATAGAAGAAGAGATGGACTATTTTATATCACACACAAACAACTGAAAGACTAGAGGAACCACATGACAAAAATTCATTTCTTGAAAGAAGAAATTCTATGAAAATTTATTTATCATGCATACTTCAAAAGAGGTGTGACGTGTTTTGTTGTTGCAGATTCATGTAATGACAAAGGAATTAATTCGTTTGGGGATGACACTTGCTCACCGTCTTCCATTGAATCTAGTGGATAAACTCCTTGTGATGGGAGCGTATTTAATATTTGGAGACCTGTCACAGCATGGCATCACAAGGCCAAAAATGGGTCCAATGACCCTCAAATCAGAAACAGGCCGATCTGCAGTAATTGATGTTGGGACTGTTGGATTGATCAAAAAAGGCATCATCAAAGTAAGTATGTCATTGACATGACATAAATTTATAACATATGTTGATTTGATATGCCAAGTTATCAATGTATTTTTATCTCCTAAAGGTTCAAGGGAGCATTAGTAAGATCAAGGGCAACATAGTTAAATTTCAATGCAGTAAAAGAATGTCATTTGATGCAATTGTGTTTGCAACTGGATACAAAAGCACGGCAAATATGTGGCTCAAGGTAATATAGCTTGTGTTTGAACATGTCTGAGTTTGTTTTCTTTGTGTAACCATTATTAAATCTGCTAACAAGGTCTATGTGTTTTTAATCCAGGATGGTGAGAGCATGTTAAATGGCAACGGACTGCCCATCCAAAAATATCCGAATCATTGGAAAGGTGAAAATGGGCTCTACTGTGCTGGGTTGGCGAGGAGAGGATTAGCTGGTATTGCAACAGACGCCAAGAATATCGCTAATGACATCAAATCTGTGATGGACTCTATGTCAAGTTAAATCATCTTTTACATGTAGTTTTCCATGGCAAGCATGCTAGAAGGTTGATTCTTTGAGAAATATATCCATTGTGTCACCTTTGTATCTAGCTTTTAGACAAATAGATTTATGTTTATTTCAAGGTTCATATGATGTACTCCCTCCGTTCCAAATTAGTCGTCGTGTTGTTAGTTCAAATTTGAACTAAAACCACGACGACTAATTTGGAACGGAGGGAGTACTATTATACTATAATAAGAAAGCGCTTTGTACTCTTATTGTGCAGAGAGATTTATAATTTTGCTTGAAACTAAAACTGTGAATTATATTTTATTTAATTGAAGCAAGAGGCATGCACTCAATACTCTGTTATCTATACCAAAATATCGTGTGGCATGTTTACCCCATTAGTGTATGAGATAGTAACCACATCAGCCCAAAATAACTGCATAGTTCACTACATCCATTACAGGTACTGTAGTGCTATCCAGTCTTAGAATGGCACTAGTTATCAACGAGTGCAACTACATCATATTTAGAATGTTTACCTTTCTTTATCGTGTTTAGAATGCGTAACTTTTTTTGAGATAAATTTAGAATGTTTACTTTTTCTTGAGAAACAATAATTACAACGTTACTAGCTCCGATGAGCTGTCAAAAATAGCACATCCTTTTTTAGGGTAAATAGCACATCTAACCTTTTTCTAGACAAAAATAGCACATCTACTTTTTTTTAAGGTAAAATAGCACATCTAACTAAGACATTGTTCCCAAAAAAACTGAGGCATGATGGGCCGGCCCCTTAAGCAAGGGGAAGAAGCAAGCAGGCCCAGAAATGACGAGCGAGGCCTCCACAAGTCCACAGAAACAAAACCCGCCAATCCAATCCGCCATCCTACTCCTCCTCTAGGGTTTTTACCACGCAGCCCCGCCGTCTCCCTCCGTCCCCCGCCGCCCCGCCTCCTCCCTACCCGGCAGGCCACCACCGAGCTCGACCCAGCGGCCATGGCCGGGAAGAAGCGCAAGTCCACCGAGAAGCAGCCCAAGGGCAGCCGCCTGCCGCTCGGCGCCGACGCCGACGCGGTGGCCGACGCCGGCAAGCGCCGCCGCTCTGGCGCCGCCAAGCGCCACCAGGCCGAGGAGGAGGAGTCCGTGCCCTCCTCCATCAGCGCCAAGATTCTCCGCGAGGCCCTCAGGCAGCAGCAGGAGGAGGGCCTCGCCGACTCCCGCCACGCCGCCGCCGCCGCCACACCTGCCGCCCCAGCTGTTTCTGCAGCCCCGTCCACGTCCTTCCCCGTCCCTGCTGCCGACGGCGGCGACGATGATGACGAGGACGTCGACGAGTTCGACGGCTTCGACGCCCTGAGCGAGTACGACGGCGGCGTGGTGCGTGCTCTCGCTTGCTTCGTCAGTCGTCGCGGTAAAATGGGACTGTTTTTTAGGTGTTGCTGACTCGAATTTGGTGGTTTTGGTAGCCGGAGATCGACGAGGAGGACGAGAAGGCCCTTGCCGCATTCATGTCCAAGGACACCTCCTCCAAGCAATCGCTTGGTGATATCATCCTCCAGAAGATCAGAGAGAAGGACGCCACGGTCTCAACAGGTGTGCATCCATTCTCAACTCTGATGCTTCTTATCAATTATTGACCATTGCGCCGATGAGGAACCCTTTTGAGCTCAGTTTAATCGCATTTTGGATGCGGAGTAAATTGAAATAAGATGGCCAATGTGTATGTTTTGTGTATGGAAACCCTGAGTCTGTGTGTTTTTGTGCAGAAGCACGGCCTGCTGTCAAGTTGGACAGCCGAATCATTGAACTCTATAAAGAGTACGTGCCAGGCTACTTGCTCCATTCCAGTTCACAGAGGAGCTTTGTCTCGCTGTTTTAATAAGGGATGCTGATTGTTGGATTTGTCATACGCAGGGTTGGCCAGCTCTTGAGCCGATACACCAGTGGCAAAATCCCCAAAGCATTCAAGCGTATCCCGTCGTTGGAATGCTGGGCAGATGTGCTGCAGTTAACTGAGCCTCAGAACTGGTCGCCTAACGCAGTGTACCAAGCAACACGGCTCTTCTCTTCAAACATGAACGCGAAGAACGCCGTGCGGTTCTACGAAGCTATTCTGCTGCCGCGCCTTCGCCATGACATAAAAACTAACAAGAGGCTCCATTTTGCACTTTATCAGTCTATGAAAAAATCCCTCTACAAGCCTGCTGCCTTTTTCAAGGGAATTCTGCTGCCACTCTGTCAGGTAACACTTTAGAGCAGAGAATTTTCTAGGACGCGTGGCAGATTCATTGCATTTTATTTTGTATGGTGTATGACTGTATTGCTTATGCATTGGACGAACCATAATCCACATTTAGTGCTAGTTAGACTTGCATCTGAATGAAGTTTGTATTGTTTCCTTTCCTCTTCACTATATAAGCTCAAATTTCTGACTGCAGGAAGGAAATTGCACTCTGCGTGAAGCAGTAATTATTGGTAGTATTATCCAGAAAGTCACCATTCCTCCACTCCATGCGAGGTTAGCTTAATGTGATGTAAAATTCTTGTCTAAGATGGTTGTGAAGTTGATATCTTATATCTACTTATCATTTTGATGCAGCGCGGCATTAATGAAACTAGCAGATCTGGAGTACTGTGGCACCACTAGGTAAAGTGTGACACCTTAGTCTTTTTTTGTATTTGTGATCTTCCACAAATTTTGCCCAATGAACTTCGTACTTTTGTGACTAACCATAGTTTTTTTCTAGTGGAAATTACTAGTTGAAAGACATTTCTTGGTATGTACTCCCTCCGTTCCGAATTACTTGTCACACGTACGGATGTATCTAGATGTATTTTAGTTTTAGATACATCCATTTCAGCGACGAGTAATTTGGAACGGAGGGAGTAGATGAAATGCTGCCATAGTAATAGGGTTATAGCTGGTCAGATGTTACATTTTTTTTTGAGGTGTTGGTCAGATGTTACATGATGTGGAAAAAACAGCAGCACTTCCTTTACCCTCTTTTTACCTGTGTCTGTCTTCCAATTTATACAACATTGTAATCTTGACCAAAGGGTTTACACAAACCTGTTCTTACATTTTTTCCAAATAGAGACCACCATGGTGCCACTAGGAATTCCATTATTTGTGCCTCTAAATTTAGGAGCTCGTTGTATATGTTGCGGTTGTGTCTTTGTTGTAGCTATCTGGATGAGCATTCTAGCTTCTACAGAATTTCAGGGGTGAAATTGATCATTGTCGTAGCAATGTTCATATTTGAATTTTGAAGCCAAGTAGTTCTGTCATGCAACATGATGGACTGGAATGTATGTTACTTTCTAAGAGCATAGTTCGCGTGATATTTAGCTGGCAACTGCATTGTGTGTGTAGCTCAGGATTCTTGTAGAACAGTGGTTGGACTGTATCTCCTTTTCCGTATATGTCCATGACTTAATTCCCTGAACATGTTGTAAGCTAATTAATCTCTCTCTTGCAGTTACTTTATCAAGCTGTTTCTGGATAAGAAATATGCTCTGCCGTACCGTGTACTCGATGCTGTTTTTGCCCATTTCATGCGGTTTCTTGATGATGAGAGAAGCATGCCTGTTATATGGCACCAGTCACTGCTCGCCTTTGTGGAAAGGTTAGTGATGGATGTGTAAAGTTTGAAGGCATATTTTGACTAATCTGAAAGGCACCGCTCTTAGTTCAGCAAAACAATTACTACGCTTGTAATATAGCAAGTTCTCTTTACCTGCTTTTCTTCTCAACGTGAAAAATGTTCCTGTTGGAAGTGTGAAGTTATACAGTTTGACCACTGACTAGTTTCTTTTGCTATTTACGGCTCAGAGCCTGATGATAGAAAGTTTCCATTATGGATGTCATTGCAATGTTTTCACTAGTTCATTCATGTGCTGCTTAATATTTTTATGACAGATACAAGAATGAGTTGGAGAAGAAAGACAAGGAACAGCTCTCACGCTTGTTAGATAACCAGAAGCATTATTTGGTACGATCCTCTCATTTCACCGTTTGAATGTCTGCATCCTGGATTTTGAAGTGCTGCCCATTTAACTGAAATCTATGTATGTATATATACAGGTAACTCCAGAAATCCGCAGGGAACTCCGGAGTAGTGCCAACAGGGGCGAAAAGCCGACCGATATGTCGATATATATCCTTTACTTACTTACTAAGCCCAAATGGGTTTCATACCCAAAGGACTGGCTAGTTTTTACGTTGGCTCGCCAAGACTATCATAACCCTCCTTTACCCGGGCTTGGGACCGGTTATGCCTAGAAGACATAGGCGAAGTTGTCCTTTACTGGTTGCGCCATTTATTTCCAGTCTTTTTTGCTTTGCATGTTAATAGTCGGTCGAGCAAAAAGATTTTATTCTCTTGCAATCGAAAGTTTTTCTACTGATGTACAACAACAATGTTGAGCCCTTAACTCTGTGCTTACGTTCACCTGTTTCCGTGATCACCAAGCCGATCGAAGAGGACAGGTGGAATGTTCCGGAAGTGCCTATGGAGGAAGATTAGTGGCCGTGGAGAGTGTCATAGTTGGTTTGCTGTGTGAGCTTCATCAGCGCTTCAGTTTTGATCATTATGTGTTTTTGTGTGGGCAATTTGTACTTGCGATGTTGTTGAGAAAGAGAAAGATTGTTATTACATATACCCTGGTTTGTAAGGACGGCTGCTATAGAGGTGCCGGTTGAATTCACTAAAACATAAGAGCTCAGGTTGATTTCAAAATGTGTTCATGATACCAGAATATGGCATATAGTGTAGGTGAAGGACTTGAAGAGAACTTTTCGGTGCCATTGGAACACAAGACAATTTTCCCAACACACCGCAAAAGGCTCCCCCAAACTACACCCGGCTTCTTCCACGGTAGCACTCCATCAGCTCCCAGTCCAAGCTCTTGCACCATCAGCGGATCATCACATACTTGCTGGTTAACAATAGAGTAGCTTTGTTCACTAGTAATTTCCCGCGAGTTTTGCAGATTGCATTGCAAGTGAGGGAGGAACTTAACGAGAGTTGGATTGTGGTCGCAAGCCTGATCAGTTTATCCTGTTGGACTTTGACTGACTCGTATAACAACCAATATATAGCAGCAGCTGTTGGACTTTGACTCGTATAACAACCAATATATAGCAGCAGCTTGTTCAATTCTGGACATCCCATACTTTTAGTGCAACGAATCAACAATCATCTGAATCTGAATACATAGAGTTAACACAAACTTGCAGTGAAAGTGTCCTTCTAATCACGCAACAAATATATCCCTTGTATTAGTAATAGGAACGGAGCAATATAGATAGAAAAAGGAAGAAAAAAAGGATGCAGAAATGCTAGGATCAAACTGCGAGTTGGACAAGTGAGGGAGCAAAGCCAGCCATGCATTTTCGGAAGGCAACATGAGTTAGGGTTTTTCTTCACCGGGGACGCTGATTATCAAAGATAAAAGCCTTGCGACCGCCGCCTTCCTCATTGATCCCACTTGGTCCTCCCCGTGGGATTTTCCAGCAACATAGAGGAGAATCATTGCCCACGCATACGCGAGAAATTCCAATGATTCATGACAAGGACGCTCACAGTGAAAAACAAAGCCCGCGAGCAAAACCGGGCTACTTGGGGCATAGAGGTACTGATCCGTAGCCAGTTTGTCCAGGAACCGTTCCTTTGTGGAACCGATAGCACCGGCGTTGGCCGCGCTCTCCGAAGCTTCCTTCAGTATGTCGCTTATGTTGCTGCTGGCCATGGTGAGCATGGTAGGATGCAAGACCAACAGGTAAATCATGTATTCAGATATCCTCCTGCATGTATCCATAAGCTGGCGTGCCTTCTCCGTGATGTCACAACTTGTCCCCGAGGGATTCTTGTACCGGTGCAAGAACATGTCTGTGTAGACATGTAGGAACAGGATGGCCTCCTCAAAGGGTTTCTGTAGTATCGTGTCCAATGCTGGACCAAGACCCGGTGATGGGCTTGTACCACCGTGAAGTAACCCAGGATGATGCTTAGTTTCAAAGATGACATTCTTGAACTCTGCCTTGATCCAAACGCTCTTGGTATGCCGGAAGTTGCGCCAGAGCTCCTTGGCTCCTACCAGATTCATCATTTTCCCCATCATCGACTCAGAGAAGCAGCAGGAATTGAGAAAATTGTATTGCCCCATGGAATTTGACCACCTTGGCCTTGACTCTGGCTGTAGGCTCTTGAAAATAGACCAGGCCACACGGGCAAGCCTCCGGCACTTGCAGGATTCCAAGAATGCCCATGTACATGGAGACATCATCACCATCAAGAAGACGGCACAAACTTCAGTGCAGAATGCTCCAATGAACAATGCATAGGTTATTGCAACATCAACTCTACTATAATACCTTTGCTTGTTACCCACAAGGAAGAGCACAAAAGCAACTACCAGTGAAATGTGAGTGAGACATCGGAGTATGGCCCCAAGCCATGTTCGAACCACCCTTGCCTTGGTGTACAGATTGTCATACATCAGCCCTAGCTCAATCTCCAGAATTTTGAATATATGTTGCCCATCTGCTGGTACTTGAAAAACATTACCAGCGGTAAATGTTGTCTGTATGTTACCTTCCATTTTAGCAAGCTTGCGACCAACAAATAGATTTCTGACACCTGGTGCACTAGACAAAGCATACTTCACAATTGTCAGATAGTCCAATTCCAGCTCGCCTTGTAGATCAGGAAATTGACCTGTTTTCACATAAGTAGAATCATCATCCCTAAGGGCATTTCGGCTTGCGCACTTGAGAGCCCATGTCCGCTCCACGTACTTGATGATTCCAGCCACAAAGACAAATATGGCTGGGATCAGAAACTGGCTGTGTGCTGATGACTTTCAAAACACGTACAAGGCCAAGCCAACTTGGGCCAGTAGATTGAGCATGTGCCTCGGCCATAACTCATTGTCCTCAATGGAGAAAGCGGTGATGGTGTCTTGCCCACCAAGATGAATGAGGAGGAAAGGCGTCCAGAAAAACGAGAGCCGGTGCATTTCTCCAGCTCCAGGCACATCACTCTCATGTAATGAAAGCTGGCCAAGAGCATAGACTGCGACCACGTCGGATAGCAAGTAAGCCAACCAAATCAGAAGCCTCAGTCCTGAGTTGGTACTGCACCGCCGGAGGCCAACAGAAAAGAAGACGAAAATCTGTAGCGTGAAGCTTAGGAGCACCAGTAGCTGTAGTTCCCAATCATTCCATAGTTGCATCAGCATCGGCATCTTTAGA